GAACGCCAGGTACGCTGCAGATGTGATGAACCAGTTGACTTTCAAAAGCGGCACCTTGATCTGAATGGGGGGCATCAAAACGAGTAATCCAATTTTCAATGAACGCCTGGGCTACGCTATTTGCATCTTGCCGTTGTAAAGGTACTGCTTCACACCATTTTGTGAAGTAATCAATCATCACTAGGATATAGCGGTTACCTCTCTTGGGAGTGGCCCCATTATGTCGATCCCGACGCGCTGGTTCGGCGCTTCCGTTAGCATAGGTACGAGTGGTGCTCTAGGCGTGTGCGTAGGCTGTTTGTTACAGTTACAGAAATCACAATTTTTACAAAACTCGATTACATCGCGGTGAAGTAACGGCCACCAGAAACGTTGACGGATTGCGTGTTCAGTTTTGTTTTGACCAGCATGCCCCAGTTGATGGTGTACTTGGCTAATGAGCTCCTGTACTTTGGCGCTTGGAACAAGGAGTCGGGGTTAGAATTCGGTTCCATTATGTAGAGAACATCATCAATCAGACGAAGGAGACCCCATTTACCACAGATGCTCTTCGTAGCTGCTGGCAGGTCTTGTAATTCTTTGGCTGTCGGTTTATTGTTGCCGTGCTGTTGTCGTAAATAGATAGGTTGTATCTCTGTGTCTGCCGCTTGCAGAGAGGCCCAGTCAATGTCAGGTGTAGCACTAAGTAATGCATTTACTGTGTTTTCACAGTCTGGCAGGCGTCGGCGTTACCATGTCGTTTTCCAGGGCGGTATTCACAAGTGAAGTCAAACTCCTGTAAACGTTCCTGCCAGCGGGCGAGTTGACCTTCAGCATCACGAAAGTTCTGCAGCCACTGTAACGCCTTGTGATCAGTTCGGACTCGAAATTTGCGCTCCAGCAAGTAATGACGGAAATAAGTGAGAAAGTATACAAGAGCTACCATTTCACGGCGCGCCGTAGAATACCGTGTCTCTCTCTTGTCCAGCGTCCGACTAGCATATGCTATCACTCGTGCATGTCCGTCAGGGGTTGCCTGTGAAAGGACGGCTCCTATCGCGTGTGCACTAGCATCAGTATCCAGGATAAAAGGACCGCTGTCGGGCGACGTATTCGGGAATGCTAGAACAGGAGGGGAAGTCAAACATGTTTTACGTGTGTTAAATGCTAACTGGCATTCGTTAGTCCAAGCGAATTTACGTCCCTTTTCAGTTAATCGATGAAGGGGGCTGCTATGTTGGCGAAGTTTTGAACGAAACGACGGTAGTAGGATGCAAGCCCCATGAAACTACGAACATCTGTCGTCGATTTAGGGGTAGGCCAGTTGAGGATTGCTTGTACTTTGCTTCTGTCTGTGCTCACACCTTGCGGGGTGATCTCATGACCAAGGAAGGTAACAGATTTCTGCAGGAAGTTGCATTTTGGTGCTTTCAACTTAAGATTACTTTCGCGTAGGCGTTGGAATACGACTCGAAGGTTGGCATGGTGTTCTTCAAGGGACTGCCCGAACACAATGATGTCATCCAGGTAAATTAGGCATTGTTTCGGGACTAACCCTGCAAGTACCGTTTGCATGAGTCGTTGAAACGTAGCGAGGGCATTAGCCAAACCAAATGGCACGGTTTCAAATTCGTATAACCCCGTAGGCACAACAAATGCAGTTTTCGGTCGGTCTTCCGGACGAATTTCGACTTGCCAATAGCCGGAAGCCAGGTCCAATGTAGAAAACCACTGTGCCCCGCCCAAAGCATCTAGAGTAGCGTCTATGCGAGGTAGTGGAAAGGAATCTCGTTGCGTGATTGCATTTAGACGGCGGTAGTCAACGCAAAGGCGGAGGGAGCCATCTTTTTTCTTCACGAGTACAATAGGGGATGCCCATGGTGACGTGGACGGTTTAATCACTTTCTTCTGTAGCATATCTGCTACCATTGTATCCGACTGTTGCTGGTAATGAATGGGAACCCGTAGAGGGGGCATCCTAATGGCCAAGTTATTCCCCATCTTAAGCTCGTGTTGTACAATACTAGTACGCCCCATCATATACCCGTCGTCAAACACATCACTATACTCTTGTAACAGGGTCAAAATGTCAGCACGGTCTTTAAGACTGAGGTGGGGGTTATCATGGACGTTCACTATTGTCATCTGTGGTAAAGCACAAGTATTAGCACACTGATTATGGTTGGATGATCGGCCAATTGCGAGGTTATGTGCCCCCAGCCGGATTCGAAGGCGACTTAAATCAATGACAGCGTTTTGTGCGGTTAGGAAGTCCACGCCCAGTATGGCGTCCCATCGTATAAAATCGCAAATGACGAACGACTGGGCACAAGTAAAACCTTGAAGCGTCACTGAAAGGGTGGCGGTATCCGTTACCTTAATTGGTGCTCCATTGGCAGCAATTAGCTGGAGCTGATTGGGGAGAGGTTTAGGTTTGACCCCGAGTCTCTGAACCAATGCCGTGCGCACAACAGAGGACGATGCCCCAGTGTCAATCAGAAAAGTTACGTCTGTGCCCTGGAGCTTGCCCTCAAGGAAAAGGGGGATTTCGAATATTTACCAGATAAGGACACATTAGAGGAACGCTCACCATGTGGTTTTCTATTGTGCCCACATTTCCATGCTCGCCGTCCAAACCGGTGACAGTAAAAACACTTACTGGGGTCCTCATGCTGCTTGGGAGTGACTGTGGTTGGCGTTGAAGGTTGATTTGGCGGTGAGGCATTGAACCGGCTTCGGCGTGGTGCTGGTATGGTCGTAAGTGCAGCCGAAGATGATGCTGTTGGGATTGGGTAGAGGAAGCTGCCGGTTGGTACTGTAATATCTCGCTGAATGTCCATAAAGCGCAAGATGGTTCGTTGTAATTCCATTGTGTTCGTAGGGGGTGGCGTAGCAGGTCTGTGCGCAGGTCACCAGGCAAGACCCCGTCGAGAAAACGTGTCCGCAGCGTGCGGTCTCTGTATTCTGGATCTGCGTTATTGTCCACACTCGCCACCATTAGTTGTAAGGCATGGAAGTAATCGAAGGGGCTCTCATCAGGCAGTTGTCTGTGATTGAAGAACTTTAGAAGGGAGTATTCGTAGCCCAATTGAAGATCAAAACAATTATCCAAAATTTTCCAATTTTCGTCCATGGACTTTGTGCTGCTGAATCCGGCAGCATCGGCGTGTGCGAATGCATCTTCTGATAGGGCATTGAGAATATGAAGGAAGTGGTGCGCTGGTGGAGAAATACTGAGGAATGCTTGAACGCGTTTTTTTCATCTGGGGTAGTCAGATGACAACTGCAACATTGGAGGACGAGGTAGCGTGGGCACCATCGGCGTGGTGATTCCACTTTCTTCTGGAAATAGCTTGGGAAGACCGTATTCGAATGAATTTTCCATGTTAATAGCAGAAGGACCACCTCCGACACAAATTTGTAACAGGCAACCGGCAGGCACACCGTAATGCAAGCAGAACACCAACTGCACAGGAAAGAGTTTATTCAGCGAGAATGAACTTTTTAAAAAGTGCGGGGTACAGTTTTGGGGATTGCAGTTTGTAAGGCATGGTAGGTTCGGCGGTTTTCTGATGTTCAAACTATGCTTGTCTACTTTCAGGTCGGCTGCGAAGTATGCAGGGGTTGGTTACTCAAGACGAGGCAGCGGATGACCAATAGGAGTGCCTTTCCCTCTTATCTAATTGTATTGCGATTGGTTGTAAATATAATACTTGACCTTGAGTCTTCGTTCTTACTAGCACGCAGCACTTGTGCGATCACACTGCTAACGTGCGCTTTGCTCTCTGTTTCAGATCATTGCTTGACGAGTGGGATTACATAAATGGCGAGCCTGCCAACGAAAAAACTTTCTTCTTCTAAGTCTCAACCCAATGAGGCTTCCAAGAACACTTCTCCTGTCAAACATACAGCATCCAACGGGGTTGATCAGTTAGCTGAAGTGAGGGCTCCAGCTTGTCAGTTAAAAAATCAGCCTGCTTCGCGTTATGTCCATCCCTTGCCGCATACACTGGAGGTGGGTGATGATTTCGAGCTATGGTCGGACAAGGTGTGCTGATACATTGATCTGATGAACGTGCCTCACCCTAACGCATTCGTCATCGATTCTGTTGGACGGCCCTTGGAAATGTACACAATTGGTTTGGATTACGTGCATATGCCCTTGACCACCCTGTTGAGTACTCTAAGAGCACATATAGTGCCACCAGTACCTCCCATTGATGAGCTGAAAAGATTCAGCGAGTGCAACCAGAGACAAGGTGAATCCATCAACCAGTTCACCTTACGTCTCCGCAAGCTTGCGCGTCAAGCTATGCAGGACAAGACATATTCAGAGGTTGAAAACGCTGTATATTCCAAGTTCCTGCAGGGTGTCGACGTCCGTTACATGAAGGACTTCAACTTGCACACTCCAGCATCCATGGCAGAAGCGGAAGCTAGGGCACGCCTAGTGGAAAGCCTGGAAGAGCCAGGAACCACATGCCCACAAGTAAACGCAATGGGATATCAGCACACAACAACAAAGCGTGGACAGGATCCCACAACACCGTGGAAAAAACACCCACAGTCACAACTCACTTCAAGAAACGATTGCTACTACTGCAGGTGGTTTGGTAAGCTTGCTAGAAGTTGTGGTCACAATGCAGGTGAGTCACATGTCGATATGAATTGTGTGCCTACTGTAAACCTAATCGGTGTCACCTCCTCCTCGAAAGTTGTAGGTTATATAGGTGGAAAAAAGTGTGTTATGTTAATTGACTCAAGAGCAACTTGTTCTGTCATACATTCCTCATGTGTTTCAGAGACCTTTAGGCCAACAATAGAGAGTCACAAGTTGCGGCTTACGAAAGCCAATGGAGATTGCATGCAATCCCAGGGAGTGTTCCTGCTGCCACTTAAATTGGGAACATTGTCACTTCAACACAATTTCATCATCTCTATCCGGGTGCCATGGCAGGTAATCTTGGGAGTCGACCTCTGGGAAAAGCTGTCCGGAATAATAGATTGTAGTCAAAGGACTTTTATACTGAAGAACACAGTTCACTTAACAAAGAAATGACACGTTCACGAGCAAGTTGAGTACTTATTTCAATAGCCATTACAATAGCCTGGAAAACTAGTTCATGATGAAAATGTGGAGCATCCAGTTCCAGCAACGCCTCTGTCGCTTCATCGATATCATTTGAATCAATGAACGACTTTAGAAGCCTTCTGATTCTCTTTGCCAACACTTTAGTTGCTTTAGGTCCAGCAGGTACACCCCAAATATTTTCCAGTCTGGAAAACGCATGCCTCAAAGTTAAGATGCTTTCAGCTCTGTTTAGAGCTTGTAATGCTAGATCCGGGCGAATCATATTAACAGTAACTAAGCTTGACGCAGAACCGATGCCACTGCTGGAATTGCCAACAGAGACTGATCCACCAGAACTACTGTCGCTAAGGTTACGAGTACCAGGTCGAGTGATGTTTTGTGCTTGTGCATCACTTTGAGTTGTATGAGTGTTACCGGACATAACAGAATTTTCTGACCCAAGTGTTTATTGGTATGAGGAGGGCTACCACTAGGAGGCGCCTGAGATAGAACAGATCTTTGAATTTCGACAAATTTAGGAGGAAGGATGTCATCTAGAATTGCTCTTGCTACGAAACGTCCAAGATACTCTGGTGCTTTTGGGACATCAATTATAAGGTCACCAATCTCACTCAAAACAAGCTGAAAGCCTTGTTGAATATGAGCGTGACTGAAAACTTTGCCACACATCCGACAACAACTCTGAAGTAAGCTCACATTGTGTTTGACGATGTTGAATAGCAAGAGTGATTGCCAAATATGGAAGCCGGCGACGTTGATGTGCAGCAAGATTCATGTCTGAAACAGCATCAATGATATCTTGAGTCTTGCCATGGATGAAAAGTTCATTCATCAGAGAAGAAAATGTTTTCTCAAATACTTCGTCAGATACCGTCGGCTGAACTTCATTAAATGTAACTGGCGCATCTTCATCTGAATCAAAGTCAGGATCTTCGGGATCCAACTCAATCTCATCCAAAACGTCATTTGGGTCATCGTGTTTGCCGCCACGTTTGCTTGGTATTTTACGACCATCACATGACTTTTTACTGTTTTTGCTGTACGGCAGACGATGACTAGACAGCTGAACCTTGTGAATTGCAGCAGTTAATGTGTGTGAATCCGAGGGAATCCCATCGACTGTCAGACCATTTGTACCAGAGTGACTAAATGAAGCAGAATGGTAACGTTTCTTCCTAGCATGAGTGACTGGGGGAAATTTCTGAGGTTTATTAAACGACGGTGCTGGCCAAATCATTTCACCGGCAGACTCTTCACCACTCGCAGCGCCTCCATCTCCAGATACATTTGCTGCTACCTTTACCCCTTTGGACATATAGAGGAATGAACGAGTTGTTTGGAAATGACGCTGACAGTGGAACTACGTATGATGTCACCAGCTGTCTTTACACAATTTCGCGACAAAGGACTAGAGGCGCAGGCCTGTATGAGTTTGAAACAATGCCGTTTGGGTTAGTCAATGCCCCAGCAACATTCCAACGCCTCATGCAAACGGTCTTGAGTGATTGTATACCAGGTAAGTGTTTGGTATATCTAGATGATGTTATCATACATAGTAAGACGTTGACCGAACATTTAAGTGATATTTCCGAAGTATTAGAACGGATGCAGACCGTTGGGTTAAAACTGAACCCATCGAAATGTCAATTCTTCAGGAAAGAAGTGTGTTTCTTAGGTCACATTGCTTCAGCCGAAGGCATTAAATGTGATCCAGCAAAAGTTCAGGAAGTTAAGACTGGCTGCTCTCAAACTCAGCCCCCGAGTTACATAGTTTTTTAGGATTAGTCTCGTATTATCGACGTTTTGTACTTAACTTCTCTTTCCTTGCATCTCCTCTATTCGACATTCTTAAGAAGAAAGACTTCAGTTGGACAGCATCACCTACGGAAGCCTTCGAAAGACTTAAAAACTGTTTATGTAGCCCCCCTATCCTAGCGTATCCCAATGTTTCTGACCAGGCAGGTCCATTCATCCTAGATACAGATGCTAGCGACTCCGGCATTGGGGCAGTTTTGTCTCAAAAAGACGCAGATGGAGTAGAAAAGGTGATAGCCTATGCAAGTCGAGCACTCAACAAGAGTGAGAAGAATTACTGCACCACGCGGAAAGAAATGCTGGCACTGGTCAATTTTGTTAAACACTTTAGGGAATATCTCCTCGGTAGACATTTCATTGTACGCACTGATCACAAAGCCCTTAGCTGGCTACATAACTTCAAAGAAGCTGAGGGTCAGATTGCTAGATGGCAAGAACACCTACAAGAGTATGACTTCGAATGCACGCATAGACCGGGTAAGAATCATGGAAATGCAGATGCATTGTCAAGAAAACCTCTTAGGTATCACGGTGACTGCCCATCATGCACCGAAGCACAAGTTTCGCCGCTCCAACTAGAGGCTCATACTTCATACAGTTGGCCTGACTTCAGTCTTCAGACCCTGAACTGGCCTTGATTTGCGAAACTGTTCGAAATGGAGGCGAACGACCGACAACCCAGGAAATAAGTAAGCTTGGATGGGAAACACGGTGTTTATGGTCTCTGTGGGATAATCTGAAAATTGTCGATAACATCCTCTACTACCAACATGGACCCACTTATACTCGTCGCGTTGTGGCTACACAGTTGGCACTACCCACAGTACTATTGTCATTACACCAGCAGTTAATAATAATAATAATTTTATTTTCGTATAAACATAAATTTACATGAAAATGCATGCCACTTTTACAGGCATGATCAAGTATGTTATAATGTCAAATCTTAAATTGTCTACAAGTTAATGATGTTCCAACAATTAAATATTTGATACATATATATAATTACACTCATTGTCTGAACCAGGCCGTATAGTTATTGAATTGTACAGTTGTCCTCCAGGTTGAGCGGGAAAACTGACTTCGTTTCGTTTTCATCCCGTGGTTGTAGGCATACGATAACCAACCAATATTGAGGTAAGTACAACGTTTACAATGGATTGGAAGCTGTTTTAGAAAAGTTAAAATGCTAAGGTGAAACACTAAAGTGTAATAGATTAAGTGAGTGAAATATATCATTAATAAACACATTTATATAGAAAACAGAATGGGGAAGTAATTAATCCTTAGGCCGACAACGTTCATTTGCAATGTATAATAAAACCAATATATTTCGTACTATCATGATGTCCACTTTTGGCTTTAATACAATTATTTCCAAGCCAGTTGTTTTTATTTCATGCCTTTTTGTCTATTTGGTGCACAACCGTACTCTCCAGAGAATAGGAATAGAATAAGTTGAATCAAATTCATAAAGAGCTATAAAATGTTAGGTTTATTGGAATATAAAGAAATTTTATCCGGTGAGGAAATTAGGCCAAAGGTGTAAATATACGGATATCCCTACTGCTGCCTTGGCCGTAGAGGGATAGACATTTATTTATTTTATTTATTTAGTTATTCTATGTACTTTTCCCTTATTACTTCGATTATTTTTATTATTGTTATCATTATTATTATTGCGACTCTCATTCTGAATCTTTTCCACTTGACTTACTTGACATTTTAAACCAAAAATTATTCATGTGTATACAATTTATCTTTATTTTTACAATATTAAATTCCATGTTATCAAATTTTACACCATGTTACGTAACATTTTATATTCGTCTATTAATCCTATAATTATATGCCTCTCCCCAAAATCTATGCACCTGATGTATTATCTTATATATGACATTAATTATTGTTCCACTTGACTTAAACTATGAACCTAATCACAAATATTTTAAATTTATTTCATACTATTATTATTTAATGGAATATAATGATCGAGTAAAGACGCTATTAGAAAATGAATGAGATAAGACATTGTGAAGTGGTATTTAAAGATCTGACAATGGACAGCAAGTTAATTTATAAGATGCCCCATAAATCTGTGCAGATCCCACACAGTCGCATCTCAACAATAGGCTGAGCGAATGATATATATTTAAAGGTGGAAGCATGGTCTGTCAGGGCGTTCATTATTATCTTTTTCAAGATAAATATCTAAGCCCTCATAAAAATCAGGAATATCTCGAGCCGACAAATTGCGTATTGCTGTTCCTGCAGAATGGGGTGATTCACCTTAGTGACCACCACCATATCTACTGATCAGCTAGCGCCACCCTCCCTCCTTTTTTGATGTTAGGCTCTGAGACTATGATTATTATGACTACGGTAAATATATTGCTTGGTACCAGACATGTTCGTACCTCATATTCCATCTCCCTAGCTTTCTTAATGAGTGCTTTCAATAGGTCTCCACGTACATCTTTATGAACATATTATATGTGTTTGCATGCGTCCCAATGAACAGATTACTTTATAAGAAGTTAAAACTTAAAGAGTAAAAAGAATAGGTTTCGTTAATAGTGGAGCAAGATTCAGCAGAACACTATAGTTAGGATTCAATGTAGGTAGTAGGAACTGAAGGTAAGGTCGGTTGGCAGGACTTAGTGTACTTATATATAGTAAACATCTGACATTGCAAAGTATCGTGTATAGACATATTATAAAACGATATTAACACAGAACCAACAAAATTTTGGCATTTGGTTGGCAATACTGCAGTGTGTGTATACTGAAGAATGGTGGTTAGTCTACAGGGAGCCGTAGAGTAAATCAAACCATATATGATAAGATTGTAATCAATAATATAATTCGTATATCAAATAATACACTAGGCTCAATAATTGAGTGTTATAAGGGAAACAAGCGTGGCAAAGCAAGAGAATATTTGATGAATTAATATTTTAAGTATTTTAATAACAATCTAATTTTAAGAATTGAACATGCATGATTAATAAGTATTATTATGTTAGTGTATACATATGTCAATGTAGTTGAAGATTGAACGATGAATTCATGGTTGTTTGCTCAAAATCAACTTCCCCAATTTTCGCGGAGGCATCAATACGACAGTCATCATCTCATCGGTCGCTGTTCAGAAAGAAGTCAGCAGAAAACCGTCAGAAGTAATCTTGTGATTTATAATTGTAATATTTGTTCACAGACCCTAGTAAAATCATTATTTTTATATGTTGGTGTAACAATAAAGAATCCTCGAGTCAAAAATTTGTGTTTTGGTTTTTTCGTCCGTTATTACCAAGCGTTTCTGAGAAACTTCAAGCGACAGCGTGAGCCCGAGCGTAGCAAGAGCTGGGCATTAACGGTTTACGAGACGTGGCTGACAACATATGTAAAACGTTAAAAGGTGTGGATGCTATTACAATTATTTCCAGTGTCACTTTTACCAACACAACTTAGTGAAAATTATAGAGAATAGAAATCAGTAAATTAGTTAACGTTCGCTGCGTGAGTATTAGAGTCGAGATATACGTATGTGACTATACTGAAGACTGGACTGGCCTTCAATTTCCGTTCTACCAACAGTTGTGGTCTTTTAGACGAGCTAGGGTGGACATGTTAAAGTGTCTTTCTAGGCTCCGTTTGAACCCATCAGGGTTTTCACAACATCTTATTTCAGGTGGTAGTTGGTTCCAAAGAGTGCAATATTTTATGGTGAAAAAGTTTGCCCTAATGGATTTTCTGTGGGTAGCCACCTTGACAAGGTAGTCGTGGTTTCGCAGCTGATATGATTTAATATTTTCCCAAGTTATGGATGAGTTACTGTAGCAGTGTTTCCTAATGACTTTGAAGAGTAGAAATAGGTTGCACTTCACTCTCCTTAACCACAGAGGCTCTAATTTCAGACGTACACACCTGTCAACATATTCCACTTGTTGGTCGAACCCTATTATGCGTTTCGTGAGGAATCTCTGGACACTTTCGATTTTTTTTCTGTCTACAGTCCTGAGGTTACTAAATAGGAGAGCACAATATTCAAGTTTGGGACGGATACATGTCCTATATATAGCTAATCTTGCTTCTTGGGTGTAGAAGTTACGCAGTACAAAGCCAGTAAGTCGTTTACAGTCAGATACAACCTTATTTGCATGATCGGAAAAGGATAAATCTGAGTATGTTATCCCGAGATCTGTGACTGTGTTCAGTTTTGAGAGGAGCTTCCCGTACATATATAGGCACATTATCGGTTTCCAGCGTCCAAGGTGGGTTATACCGCACTTGTCTGGGTTGAAAGTCAGTTGCCACTTTTCGCTCCAATCGCCTAGATCATTTAAGTCTTGTTGGATCTTGCTTTCGACGCTCATATCACCGTACCCATAATCATATACTATCTTGAGATCATCTGCAAAAAGGTATGGCTTGCCATACTTGATTACAGAGACTATGTCATTTATAAATAAGAGGAATAGAATAGGGCCAAGAACACTA